TTTCATCTAAAAATTACATTCTCGGGATCAGCCTTTTCTTTCTTACTTTCTCCTTCTTCTTCTTCTTCTTCTTCTTCTTCTTCTTTTTTTAGTATGTGTGTGTTTTTCTCTTTTCCCTTACTTATATATTCTTTCTATTTCCTACAAGAAAGCCACTTTAAAAAGGAGAATTGGATATATACTTTTTGCATAGCAAAACTGAACGTGAAGGGCTAAAAACAAAACGCTTAAATTTTATAACTTTAAATATTATATGTGAAATTCAAAAGATTATATTAAAGCGACTATGATAAATAATTTTTTCTACAAGTGCATGGTTACCTATTCTAATCTTTAGTTTTCATCTTTGTTTTTTATGACTTTTGAATCACTCTCAAAATACAGCACCATGAATATATGATTATACTGTATATACGAAAAAGTATAATATTCTGATCTAATGATTATCAACAAAAATGTCTATCCATTTAAAGTACTGCACAAAATCCGCAGTGCTTTAAAAAAATCACGACAAAAATCCATCAATTAGTCGGGGTTTTAAATTCTTAATTAACACCGTTTTCAAATTCCTTATTAATATATAACTCTCGGTTTGCAACTTAAGTTAAGATAGCGAAGCAACCACTCTGAATTTACTATTGAAAAATAACAAATAAAAATGGATTAACGATAAATTGTCAAAAAAATTTCGATCAAACCTTAAGCTGATTGCGGGCCGGTTAGATCAATCGTCAAACCAGTGGAACAAATGTAATCCAGATCAGTGAACGTATTACATCTTCCAGAACCTTCTACATCCTGGTTTAAACAGCTTTTCGACTCAATGGCCACCTAACCTTGGTTTAAATTTAAAAAAAGCAAACTCGAAAGAGTTATGCGTTTGAATTTAATGACATAAATGGAAGCCCATTTTGAACTTTCTGTCAGTATAAGACGTACGGAATAAATAATGATGTTGAGAATGGTTCGTTATTTGATAACATTTGACAACATTTTCAAACAAATTAATAGATAAGTTGTGATCATTTATCATAAATTGGTACTTTGTATCTGATAAACAATTTTAAGTTTGAAAAGATAAACCTTACAGAATACAACAACGCATTAAAAAAAAAGGAAAACTCTTTGATTTTTCACTGATATCAAAAACAAGAAATATTGATGGAAACAAGCAACTAAAATCAGCACAAGATGCATCAGAAAAAATTGTTAACATTTGGTCAGCTACGATTTCAAGCTCACGCCCCCTCATGTGAGCGCATACGAATTGTGTCTCAAAAACACGGTTTTTGGATCTTTTCTCGAAATAATGACTATCTAGGCAAAAAACAGAAGTGGATTCAGCTAATTCAACTATTCACGGACTGTATGATATAGTTTAAATTGAATTCTATTTAAAAAACCACCGTACTTTTGAGTTGAATGTACGCTATTGAACGTATTTTACAAGAGAAAATGCATGACATAACCGGCTAGAAAATCGTCTCCTTGATATAAAACAGAACCTGTAAAAGAACCTGAAAAAAACAAATAAATAAAACAGAAGTGGATTTGAAAACCCCGGCCTTTCCTGAACATTTTGGTACATAATTCATAGGAATTTGTTAAAATTTAGAACCGTATTTTTGCTGATTTTATAAGCTCATACTATCTGTTGGCCTATACATTCGCCTCTTATGGTTTCTTAGGTTTCGTAGCCTCGAAAACTAGTTAGCGAAAGAACAGAAGATTTACGGGTCATTTAGGATGTTTTGTCACGCAGTTTACTTGTGCTATATAACTTTACTTTTAAGAACAACCTTTTGCTTTGGAAAGAGAGGAAAAAGACCGACAAAAGAAAAAGAAAAAAATCAACGAATTTGTGAAATAAACTGAATGAACAAATAGACCAGTTTCGAATTCCAAATAAACGCTGTGTTCCTTGATTGCAGACTCATTTGCACAGGGTTAGCCTCGTATCAGTGTTTAAATATTCACAAATACCAACGGTAAAGTAAAGAATGCACAACTTCGACAATACAAACACTTTGAAACTCGACGGACCTTGACTGGAACACGTGAATATTCTACACAAAGTCGAGGCTGACCCTGTGCAAATGAGTCTGTAATCAAGAAACACAGCGGTAATTTGGAATTCGAAACGGGTCTATTAATTAATTAACTTGAGAGAGGTGAAAAAAAAAAAAAATGGAGAGATAAACTCCAACGTTGGTAGTATATATAGTTAAGGAATATAAAAATCTTGCGCATGCCTCAGTGCTGTGATATATACGCGTTAGGAGAGCACGAGAAGCAAACTTATGAAGACGAGGCGTAGCCGAGTGCTTTTCTGGTTTTTAGAGTGCTCTACAGCTTTCAGGGCGTTTATATCACAATACAGAAAAATAAGCATAGTAGTCGTTCTATATCGATTTAACAAAATATTTGTTGACACATTTGCGTGAGCGTGTCTCCATCGTCTGATATAAAAACGGTAGTCAGCCAATCAGCGCCCTCGTTATATTTCAAATATTTTATAATTTTAGATTGCTCTACAGCTTCAAGAGCGTTTGTATGACAATACAGAAACATAAGCATGGTATTCGTTCTGTATCGCTTTAATAAAATATTTTTGACATATAAACACGGTAGCCACCCAATCAGCGCCCTTGTTATATTTCAAATGCTTTATAAATTATTGTATACAACGGCTATCTTGAGCTATTACATTCATAAATTAATTTAATTTTTTTTAATATATTTTTTTATTTAAAAGCTAAAAAGTAGAGGAATATTTATATGTGATTAATTAAAAAAAAAACAATACAAAAGCGGATAAAAATATTTGACAATAAGTAGAGTTACCAATAGGTATCTACTGATTGGCTAAGACGGCATGAATCGATGAGTGACGTCATTGTAGGGGCTATGACTGGAAAACTCAATGTGTAAGAACTGCGTAATAGAAGACCAAAAGGTATATATTTTAAATAGAATAATCAATGATGTATTTAGATTTATACCATTTTTTTCTATTAATGATAATGATATTTTGATAGCTTTGGGATGTAAAACGGGGYTGTGGTAAGCAATGAAAAACAACAAACCGACTCGAACAAACAAACGGACCCTCAAAAAGGCGCCAAGATCGGCGGGGTTGTCAGTAAACTCGGATTATTTCTTGTTTTTCAGGTTAGAATTCAAAGAACAACTTGACTTTTTTGTCGCAAAAGGCTTCATGCATCTTAGAGATATGGAATTCTCGTTTGAATTCAGCTCAAAAAGCTCTTAAATGTTGTTGGTATTTGAAGCATTGAAGTCGAAAGTTTAAACCAAGGTGAGGTTTTTTAAAAAACAAAAATCCATTCAAATCTACTTACTTTAAAAGCTTTTTCCAGGAATTTTTTTGATTTTGAATTTCACTCGTGGGATTTATCTTTCTTCCTAGGTTCTTGAAAATCCATTTTCTGCAAAATTACAATCTGAATTTTGATTTCAAATGTTCTGAAGTTTGAAATGTTTGAAAGTTTGATGCAAAGTCGTCTATGAATGAAATTCTGATTTGCATAAATTTGGTCAGACCAGTGATGTTGGGAGAATTGAAAAGGATTTTTCAAAATCTCATTCTACAGTTACCATTCCCTAGAACAGCATTTTTAAGTTTGAGCATAAAAACCTGGAACATTTATATATACTTTTTAAAACTATAAAGTACATATAGCTTTGAATTGGTAATGAATAAGGAAATAAGTAAAATGGAACTTGTCTATAATATTTGATTCTCTTTACTATTGTTTCACACGTTTCGTCACTTCCTGTTTCCTAGTTTGATTATTTGTTTAAGAGGTAAGCATTTGGTTCTAAACCAATTAACTATATAATTTATATATTTCTTTAAACTCTCATGAGAGTGATTCCAGATGATATCGAAACGTCAAGGAGCGATGATATCGAAACGTCTTATCGTTGTTAATTTTATAGTTAAATGTTTTTTGTGTGGCGGCGCAATTCATAAACAAATGTTTCCCCAGTATTCCTAGAGTGACGTAGACATCAATAAATCAAGGGCTGCCTGAAAAGAGCGATTGAACCAATCAGCATTCATCATTATATTCGTATCTCAATATTTAATAATTTTTTAGCTCATCGCCTCGATGAACATGATTTTGCCTAAAAGCAAATCAAATGATACCCACCCAAGGATGGAGCAATCCACCAAATATCTTTAGTAAGGCTGTTTTTTTTGTCGAGAAATTTTGAGAAAATACCAAAAAACGTTTTGGTGACGTCATGTAATAACCTGCTGTAAAAACCAAAAATTTCCCCAAAGATTCATGACTATAGTTTTTTACATTACTACGACTTAGAGCCATGTAGTCCATATACAGGACCTTCGTTATGTATTGCAGTGCGCTTGTCTTGCTATCATATTATTTACTTTTTCAATTGGCTTGTTTTCATTTTGGACAAGTTTTGCGTGTTCTGGAGAAAAATTCTAATTTTCTATAGTTAACAAGACTTATGTCGGTCATTTTTTTCTATCCGTCTATCCGTCTATCCGTCCATCCATCCATCCATCCATGCATCCATGCATCCAT